TGGTTTGGTTTTCACTGATCACTGAGGTGAGGGGAAGAGAGAAGCATGAAAATAGAATCAGCAAAGTCTGTGCAGAGGGCATAGTACAAACGCGACAGAAACAGCAAACTCCCACCAGCCAGGAATTCTGGAAGTTTCTGGCAGCTTCTGCATTTCCCCTCATGCTTGAGAACATTTCAAAGGCAGGATTACAAAAGAAGACATGACATGTTCGGTTCAAAACTGTAACTGGGGCTCTGGAGGGAGGGAAGGGGCAGGCACAGAGGCAGCACATGCTGTTTTGAAGGACTCACTTCAAAGCCTTCCCTTTCTCCCTCCCTGTGCAGGTAAGGATCACAGCCGGGCACATGAGTCACCGCCTCTCCATTTAGACAATAAGGAGGAGGATTAGTTAAGCTGAGACTGCTTTACCAACCTGTGCCTCTGACCTAAATACCACAGTGAAGCACCAGGCTTCTGTGAATGCAGGACTCGAGGCAGGAGCTGGACTGATCCAAAGCTGGCGCTGGGCAGCCTTTGCTCTAACCAAGTGCTTTACAAGCATGCAGCTGCCGTCTTGTACCCATGAATTATGACTTTCTCAAGGGGAAAGTCATCTCATGGGATGAGTTTGTCACATGCCACAAACCTGAGGTCACAGAAAAGACTTAAGTAGTATCACCTCCTTAAAGCAATAATTAACATGACTAAACAGCAGCATCAAACCTCCTACTCTTTTGCTTTTTCCCTGGGAGGATTTTCTTGGCGAGAAGCTCCTACTGCATAATGATATTCACCTTGTCCTTACCCAATGGCATGCCTAGAGTGCAGAAAATACTAAAAAAAACCACAACCAAACGCCAAAATAAACAAGACTTGGCAATAACTAAATGCTCAAATTTATAAATATTTGAGATTTTAAATCCTTGCATTGATTTTTAATTTCTTTCCACTGTTTAAAACTTTATTTCTCCCTAGGACGTAGAGAGAGGAGAAGAAAACTACCACTGTTTGAATACTCCTTTTGCTGCACCTATCATCCTTGTTAATAGCCTCTAATGAATAACTCACTCAAGGATAAACATGCTGCCATTATTATTTTGTCAGCAGAGTCAGTATGATTCAGAGGAGAGCAGTCATATGACTGTCACAGTTCCCAGATTGTGAAAAGATGTGGGAAAACAAAAATTAGCAGCTGAGAGAGGAAGCTTGACTTTTACTATGAGCAACTGAGCAGCCTGTGGCTGATTTGAAATACATACAGACACAAAAATAGGAAATATTACTGTCCAACAGGAATCACTCTAGAGTAGAGAAGTTTCTTTTCCCTGAGAGGCCTTAGAATGACAGAGAAAAATCACTTGAAGTTAATATATTTATTACACCAACTTGGCCAGAAAAAGCAGGTCTTTGACACACAATCCCTTTTCTTAGGGTCTTAAATCATAATGACTTTAAAAGTGCTACAATTTTAAGAGTGCACCCAAGCATGATAGCTCATACTTCCTATGTCAGACCTACCTTTTGCATAGCTGTCTTTTGAAATGTGATAAAAGAGTCATTGCAAAGTAAATATCTGCACACAGAACACTGCCATGGCCAGAAGACTTGAACCATTACTACAGATACCACTGACATCTGCTGGTTTCCAGAAATCAGGACTACTGGGATCAAGACAAGTTGATCCTGGGCATAATTTTAGTGCCTTATAAAAGGCCCCTTTGTGTGAGTTTATGTGACAGGGTTCTCCAGCTCAGGAGGGAGGAATGTTTACCAGCAAGCAGCAGACTGAGGAGATTATTACATGCTGAGAAGCAGCATGTGAAAATCTCCCAGGACTGGTAAGCTCTGGAGACCAGTTGTTCTGTTAAATCCACCAGAACTGATAAATTCAGAACACCAGGAGCCTGCTGGCTGTGTACGAAGCCACTACACACATTAGTACCAACCATGGTTTGCATTAACTTGGATCATGAACAAACAGGTAGTGGTTGCTACATGCAAACAAAAAACCCTACAGGATTACACATACACACCTGATGAAGCAAAGAGCTCTTCAAAGGAATTTGTAACCTTGTAGGAGCCAGGGGTCCCAGCGTGGGGACTGACCTCCCAGGGTAATGACTATCCCTACAGAGTAGTCAGGAGTGTTAGACTTAGTGAATGGTTGGTGTGAATAGCTATCTGCTATTAGTAATGGCTTTAGTAGCAAAAAGCCTTCCATTCCTTGGGATGTGTGTATTTCCCAACTTGATCTACTATCATGGAAAGGGGAATTTATTTATGGAATCAAACATCCAACTATTTTATCAGTTATTCTTGGCAATACCAATTCCCCCCAGACCTAGGACTGCTGCTGCCACTGATTTAATTTCTCAAACGACTTGTTAAAAAAAGTACTTGCAAAATCCACGTTATGCAAGATCTCACTTCCAAGACTTTCTTGGAGGTCCAGAAAATGTGACTCCAACAGCTCATGACAGAAACATGGTTAGCCAACTTAACTATTTTTCTAGTCCATACAATTTAGACTTCTCTTTTGAGCACCAGCATGTGCAGATGTTAATCATCACAAGAGACCAAATAAGTACATTAACACCTTTGGTTGCTTTTACTTCTGAAAGGCAAGTTTAGGAAAGCAAATACCTCTAAACAAAATGTCTGATGCTGTCACTTGAAGATGAGGTTCTAGAGAGCCTGAATCTTTGTTAATGCCCTGCTCCACTTTTCCATTATTCCTGGCCAAAACCCACACATACCAGCAGAAACCTTTCAAGTGTTTCCAGAAGACCTTTAGATTTTGGCACGTACGCAGTATGCTCAGCAATTGCGTCACTACCACTGAAAGTTGTACCATGCTATTATGCATTACTACTCAGTTGAGGAACTGCTCCCAGGAATCTTAGAGCTGTTAAGAAAGCGTTTAATGACCTCATCTGATGATTTAGAAAATAAGCATTCATGCCTCAGGAAAGTCTCTTTAGTAGGAACATGTTGTTACTATTCTACTCTAATAATCTCACTTCTACTGCTGTGATTTCACTGTTTGGTTCTTTAAAGTAACAACTCCATGGAATTAGAAACTGGCAACATTTGTGCTTAGCAGCTTTTCTTCATTTGTCCCACTCTATTACTTCAATGAAAGGATATAAACACAAATGAAGTTTCTCTTTAAAGACAGACAGACCAATGATGGTTAGTTACAACAGGAGAGTTCTGTCAGTAATATGCTGACAGAAATCAACTGCTGGAGTGGTTTACACCGATTTGCAAAATCTCCTTTAAGGGCCCTGAGCTGAACAGTAGCTTTGTTACTCTGAAGGCTTCTGCTCAGATGGCTTAGCAAGGACTTGGCCTTAGCTGCAAGCTACAGGATTGCACCTTAAGATTCTTTGCTTCATTTAAGTGTTTATAATCAGGAACTTCTGGAAATTCCAGTGACAACTGACTGCCTAACAATGGGTTCTTAAGCTTTGACTATTGTCTGACTCTGGCTTAACAAAGAATTGTAAAAAACCCTCAACTTTCTCATCCAGTAAATACTGAGATTCAAATGACAATTTCTTAAGACATTTTTGACATCTTAATGGAGGATTTCCCTTCTCTGTAGCTAAAAAGGAGTAATTTAATACTTTGAGTATATCAGAAGGGAAGCTATATCACTAAACTGGGTTAAGGTTACAAAGCACAGTTCTCTCATTTACTGGTTTTCTAGGCAGTGTTTTGCATTTAATTCATCAGTTCACTCCTGTTGCCAGAATGAGAAGATACCTCAGACTGAAAAACATCACCACTTACTGCTTCTAGAGGATATACATACTGAGCTTTCTGATGAGACAAAAAATTATTCTGAAACATCAGTATTCCTTTGAGTCAATAAATATCTTCTACTTTTCCTGCCAGACTTTTATTGAAAGAGATGCTGGAGATGTCAACTATTAACTCTGTTGCAGAGAAAATGAAAAGCAAAATCCTGACAACTTCAGAAAAATGATGACAAGCAATAAGAATGTTTCACTTATATAAAGCAGAGATAAAAGGAGGCAAATTACTGTGATTTGGGATTTTCTAACCTTTCTGCCCCTCATGAAGCTAGTGGGAAAAAATTGATTAAAAAATTACTATCTCAGCAAGCAACACAGGCCATTCTTTTCCTAGAAACATAAGCAGAATCTTCCTCAAGCCAGCAAAAAGAGGAATAATAATAAGAGTTGCCCAATATTATTTAAACTACTTGAGACAGGCCAAAACCACTGAGCAGCTAGCATCATCTAGATAATCACCTGACTCTGGGATTGAGCAATCTTCTGACACTGAAGCTAGGCTAACATCCAAGGAAGGACAGTTTCCTCCAGGACTTACCAGTGAGATTAGCCCTACCATTAAATTGGGAATGGACCTCTCAAACCTGAAGCAGCTTTATTATGCAGTGAATCTTCATGAGTTCTTGTAATCTGGTTAAGAGTTCTGGTCAGGTTTTCCACCTCCAATAAATACTCCATAAATCTGAGGGTGGACTCTAGAAGACAGGGCTGAAATGTATAGAGTTTTGTTCCTCAAGTGGTATCACTAGAAGTTATTCAAAATGTTTGACATATCATGAAGATAAATTGCCTCTTTGAATTTGTTGAACTCCACACTCAAATTATGAATTATAATTGGTTGTATAGCTTTCTATACCTGCTTTAAGATTTCTAAAAAAATGTTTACATTTTACATGTAAACAGTCATCTTTCAAATTCAATAGAACTATTTTAAAGAGTACACACTTATTAGGTTTTTTTCCTAAAAAGTTCTTTTATAGACCAAGAATTATGATTTTGGAGTAGGAATTATTAGAAAATACCTTAAAAATATTTTTAAATATGTAACAAAATAATGACTCAATCCCTAATATTAAATTCTTCCAACAGTCATCATTTAAAATACCACTATTTACGTGTAGAAACAAAACAGAAATGCTATAAAATACAAAGCAGTAGGAGTACCCATAAAAATATTTATATTATTTAATGGTATAACTTAAATTTTTTTTCAAAATAAATTTAGTCAAGAGTTTCTAAGACTTGGCCAGTCTCCACACAATCACATCTGAACTGAGCTGAGCTTCTGCTATTTTCAAAGCAATTTTCTGGTAGAGGGCACCATTCATTGTTTGGTTCATGCTTCGCACACACTCCTCCCGCTCATTCTGAAGCTTCTTTCTGAATTGCTGGACTCCTTCCTCGGTGTCCAGTAAAGAAGCCAGAGGAGCATTATTGATTTTCTTGCCAGACTCATTCCCCCATGTCAAGCTGTTTTCAGCCTTTTTTAAGGAAAGAGAATTCTTCAAGGTGAGCATTTCCTTTTCCAGAGCCAGTGCTAACTGCTCAGTAAGTGCTCCTTTGCTTCCAGATCTCAGGAGTTTTACACCACAGCTTGGAGGGAGAACTCGAGTAAGGCTATGAAGGCACTGGAACAAGACAGTCAGATTTCTGTAAAACAAAATGATGATGGTGTCAAAAACCAAAAACTGTAGTTTCCACCTATCAAAGAAATATCCTAGCCATATAAAAGATCAATCCAAACACAGGAATAAAAGATACAGAAATTACAATCACAGCCCATAAATGTAGGGCTCAGTAACTATTAACAAAATGGGATCAAAAGTGAATAGTACCAAGTAAAATCACTTTTAAAGGAACCAGAAGCCTTGAGATGCAAAATTTTACTGATTGATTGCTTAAACATTTCAGCCTCTCCTTTTACATAAAGGAAATCAACTCCTAATTTGAGGAAAAGACTGAACCTCACTATAAAATACACTCTTAAAAGTAAAACCTTTTCTTTTTTATTTTTCAGTTTGAACTCCTTGAAACAGCAACATTTGTCAATATCCCAGAAGTACTTTTTATGTTATAAGCCTTATCCAGCTAAGTCATAAATTATGGCAGTATTACTAATTTGCTTAACCTGGTTTAGGAAATATTTGTCCAAGAATCTGCATAAGAAAGGACATCAGTGAGACTCTTCAGATTATTTCCTTTATATAATCATGGCAGATAGGAAATAACTACAGCAGAAACATGTACAAAATGAGACTACACTTATATTGCAACTAAACTAAAAATGACCTAGTGAGAAATTTAATTTATTTTGGGGTTTGTGGTTTGGTTGTTATTTTGTTTAATATTAATATAAAATATTTAATATTAAAGGATTTTTTTTTAAAATTAACACACATTGAAGAAAAAAAATTACAAATTACACATTATACTAAGAATTATGTAAGAAAAAAAGAATATAAAATAACGATGCAGCAAAATGAAGCGAAGGAATCGTACCCAAGCAGATATTAATGGAGATTAGACTTATCTGTAATTCAGTGTTCCAGACTAGACAAAATTAAAGAACTCAGTTCAGGTTCTGCCATAGTTCTGATCTGAAAACAGGCCTGTTATTGGTGATTGTTATCATCAAGTTGGCAACCTATTGGTTACAATTTCAACTGCTGTTCATGACACCAGTTAGAAATGGCATAAAGATAAAAAAGGGTGTACAGAAGATGAATATGCTATGCTTTGCAAGTGATTTTACCTGCAAAATATTGTTAGAATTCCTTCAAATGGATTTTTCAGGGCCCAATTAAAAATTGTACCATGGACATTTCCTGCTTTATGACAGAATATGTGGTCCTGGCATCCCTTCAATGGTGTGCACTCCATTTCTCCCAGTAACCACGAACTCACTGGAGTCAAAGTGTAGTCACAAGACTTAATCTGAAAGGAAAATCTGACAGACACTGCAAGGACAGCAAGTATATCTTCCATGGAACCTGCAAGAAAATACAGTAAAAAAAGGTATTTGAACTAAATATTTTGATCATGCAGCATGCATTAAAAGATTTTTAGCTCATACTCCCTGTTTTTTTGTGAAGGATTTGCACCTGGCTTCAGGCACTCTTTGGGAATTTTCTTCTCACCTAAATTCTTATCCCTACGTCTGTCAAGCAGAACAGTTGATTAATGGAGCACCACCAATATAATGAAAGCTCTTAAGATAAACATCACCTTGCGAAAGGAAGACTATTAGTTTCCTATGATAGTAAGATGAGATGTTGGCTTTAGCAGTGACACAGCATTAAAGGAAGAAAATCCAAATTCATTGCAAACAACAAAAGGATATTTCATTACCTGAGCAAAAGCCCAGGTCAAAATCAATTCAATCAGGAATATTAAAAGAAATGAAAATAAATTACTTTAATATACGTGTAGATGAGGAAGAGCTTCAATTACTTTGGTATTATTTAAGAGAGAGTTGTATATCAAAAAAAAACTTCTGTAACTAATTCCAGAATCTAATTTATACAAAAAACTTAGGCTTCAGCGTCCTGTACTCAAACTTATCTTCAAAATTATCCTTTCCAGATACCCCTCATCACCAATGCTAACAAAACCTTACAACAACTCACTAAACATTTTTCCCATTTGGAAAAATGTTCTCTCTCTTATTTCACCCAGCTTTAATTCTCAAAAGGTCTGTGCAGCTTGTGTTCAGAGAGAAATTTGGCTTGGCATCACCTAGAGTAAACAAAAGAATCAAATATATATATATATATATATATTTATAAATCCATTTACCTGTACAGTAACTATTATCCCTTGGCATCTTTACTGAATATCTGCCATTTGAAATATCTTCTAGAGTTAACAAAATTTTCCCACAGAGTACAGTAATCTTTTTGCTCTGCTGTAAACCATCATTCTGATGGTTTTGCTTCCTGGCATGCAGAAGAACTACGCAGCACACACGATGAAATGCCAACAGTGGTGAAAGGCTGGTGACAGCAGTGACTGTCTTTGTTTCATCCAGCTGAATCCTTGAAGATCTCTTAGGAAACTCTTTTTTCACATCATTGCTGTTACGCAAGTCCAATTTCATCTTTTTTGGAGGAGGTTCAATTTGACTTGAGGAGACTGTCAATGCTGAGAAGGCTTTGTTCAGCTTAATGATTTTACTTTGGCACTTGATAATTGGAGAAATCGAAGAGAAGTCTTGATCCATCACTAAAGATAAACTGACATCACCCAGTGACCTGTGAAAATCCATACAATATGGCTGCACTCCCAGTTCACATTTTTGCCTTCTGACAAATAACCACAACTCTGCAGATGTACACAGACATTTAAGACTATCATAAAGTCCAATACTACTCCAGATTAAGTCAGACTTTGCAAAGAGGCTAAGTCCTTCATGACTGTTTCATATAAACTTAGTATTAAGATTTTTCAAAATGTGCACTGAATTTTCTGAGAGCTTCTAGGAGTTAGATACCTTGTTTCAACCATAAGAATTTGGATGTTTAATTCAGCCAGAAGCTGAAAATTCTACGTAACCTATAAAGATACTCTATGACATTATGGATTATTTTTTAAAGATTTAACCTTTTTTTTTAATAAAAAACCACAGAAAATATCAATTCTGCCCTTTTGAGGACTAGAAGCTCTTCTGATACTCTTATAGATATTCAAACAAAATTCAATGTAGAGTAAAATGAAAGGTTTTAAGATACTATTACCTTGAACATGCAGCAACTTCCTGAAGTGTATGAACTACTTTATTTATTCAACTCAAGGCTCTTTCAATAAAATCCTAATATTACTGTTCTAGATCCTCTTTCAATGAATATATTATTCTGTCAATCAATTCAATCTCAAAATGTCACTGACATTTGAAAGTCTTATGAATGTCTCATTTTCTTTACAGAGAAGTATCACCACCTCATAATGCAACCCATGATATTACTGCAATCTTGCCTTAGTAGGAAGCATGAAAATAACCTATCAAGAATTACAGAGTTGGGGCTGGAGATAAAGCAAGTCCTTTTCCCCACAAACACAGGCTGTTGTACACAGTACTGAACTGGAGCCCAGAAGACCGAGGTTCTGCTGCTGGCCTGTCAGGTAACCTTGGGCAAATGGCTTCTCCACAGATTTTTTCTCAACTGTTAAAATAGGGGAGAGGGCTAGATTGCTGCTGGTTTTTAAAATCTGCTGAAGGTCTCTGAAGTTATACAGGAATTAAGCGTTTTATTTTAAAACAAAACAAAGGCATCATCATCCAAGCTAAAAGAACAAACAGTAAAAAGGCAAAAAATGATCTTTTGCCTGAGTGGGTCTTAAGAGAGGCTGTCAAGAGGGATGAGGTCAACTTTCTTGTAAAGTTACAGCAATCTGGCAGTTGAGAAAGAATATAGCCACAGCTCCAGCAGAATGGCCAGAGGGCCTAACAGGTCAGCTCCCTCACAACCACCTGAATGATTTTCAGTGGCATCAGTAGTCTTTGAGCTCAGCCTAACACAGCCTCAGCTACACCACCTGGGGGAAATGGGTCAAAAGATAAGTTCTGATTCCACCACAGGTTACATTACACAATTCATGTTGTAATTTCATATTTTATGTAATCCTCTTTTTTCACAGTTTCAATTTAGTTCCCTATCTGTAAGGGAAAATGACATGAGTAGTATTTACAACTAGAACTGAGTAATTAAAATAAATAGAATAAACAAATAATTTTAAAGATGATAATAAAAATAAATTATTTTGAAGGTTTAAGTATTGTATGGCTGATTGTTCCACATAATTTACATAAAATACGAGCTTTGCAATCATTTTGATTAAGTTCTTGACTAGAAGAGTTCAATTCAAAAGCTAAGTATTTATTAGTTGATAAGTGAATTTAATATATTTTCTTTTGTACTTCTTGAAGCAAACCAGTTAGGAATAGCAAGTAGCTAACACTAAAGCAACAGGAACTAAGCGAAGAAAGAGCTTTATTTACAACACATACTGATGTCAGCATTGCTATGTCAACATAGACTGTAAAGAGCCCTAATTTTTGTCAAAGGAAACTCTTTTGTAAAAAATCTCCAGTAATGTTGCAATTATACTCACACAAATGATTTCTGGCTGTATAATATATTTTTCTGCACAGTGCTAGAGAGCAAGCAAGCAGCAGCAGCAAGAGTACTGACAAAGACACATTTAAAACATTTTATACGCAGATGTTCAAAATGAGAACATTCAAATTTACTGCAGAGCTTAACCTACACATTCATTTTCTATAAAAATACCAATGAAATTATTAGGTAAATGTATATACTCACAAATAAAATGATTCAGTTAGTTTTACTCCAACTACCAGGCTGTCACCCACAACACGCAGCCACAATTCCTCTGTGAAGTGCTCTGGGACTTTAGACGCCAATGATGTCTCTTTACTTAGAGAATCAGGAGGATTTTCTACATCATCCCAGAGAGAGACAAGGCCTTCCTTACAGAAAAATGTGGTTTTTTAAAATTAATTTAAATTAATTTAAATAATTTAAAATTAATAAAATTTTAAGTTTTTTTAATTAAGTAGTGATATTGTTTATTTTTATACTGCATTACTTTATGTTTTACCACAAGTGACAGCTGAAGGAGCTTTTAAGATACATAAAATGAAAGATATATATATAAATGTATTTATTCTCTACAATAAATAGAATTGAATTTTCCTAACACATTATATTATCATGTAAAGTACAACTTATTCTCTTCTTGTAAACATCACATGTCAAAATCTTGATCTGCTATACAATTAATTGTCCAAAGATTTAAGGTGCTGGAATTTCTATTACTGCATTTAATTGCTTGATACTTTGTTGTCCAAACCTAGAAAACTTGGAAGATATCACAGCAGTAACTGAAAGGGAGATGAATTCCATTTCAATTAAATTAGGTTACTTTTGAGCAATATATTAAAATAAAATTTTCCCAGCCTCCATCACCTTCTCAGCCCACAGCTCACTCTGCCCACATTATAAAGTCGATTTTGCTCAGTTACTTCTATGGCAAGTCCCATTTTGTAACATGTGAGATTACAGACAGTTATTCAATATCTAGGCAACTGTGCCAATTAGAACTGTACATTCCCCTCATGTTTGTTGCTAACTCTGTTAGAGGTTACTCCTCCATACCACTCAGTTGTCAGTAGGTATTGTGCACATCAATTTCAAGTAGAAACAACTAAATTTACTACTAACTCACATACTGGCAAGTTAAGAAAATGAACCAGACTTAAAAAGCAGATTAATGAATTTTGATAGTGGCAACCCCTACAGGTGACTGTGATAAGTGGCTGAGGGCAGCACCCTCTACAAATGGCTTGGCAGAATTCAGAACTGATCTGGCTCGCCTCCTGCATTTTACCTCTTTTGAGTTTGGTAGAATATGGGTTCTTTCTTCAACAAGATCTATTAATGCTCTGCAAGACTCAAGAATAACTCTCTTTTGGAGTTCTAAATGCTGCCGTAGCTCTCGAACAGAAGTCCAACCAGCCTGTAAAAGATAATCATTAGACTACTGCACATAGGAAAGGATATTAAAGCTATCAAAATATCTTTTCAGTTTTCCATTTGTATGCAAGAAGCACAACTAACATTTCCAAAAAATGTTCAAGGCAGGCTACTCTGTTTTTAAAATATAAATCTCAGAATCTTGGTCTTTCAATACTAAACCTAGAGTTTAAGATAAATATTAAGGCAAACTTAATCAAATTACATAGATGTTCAGATATATTTCTGTAGATATATTTTATTATTAATCCTGCTTCACTTTTTCATGGATAGCAGTTTCATTTTCTTCTCAAGATTTGTACTGATTATTGGTCAAGTAAATACATTGAAGAGTTGACAGGTTCAAAAGCAGACACATATGTTGATTGCATCTCAGCTAAACAAAACACAATGAAAAAATCCTCCCAAAAAACAACCAAGGCAAACCAACCAAAAAACCCCACAAACCAAGCAATAAGGAAAAAAAAAACCAAAAACATGGCAGTTTCTAAGGTTTTAAGAAAGATCCTCAAAAGCTTATTATCTGGAAAGCAAGATCCTGAGAAGTTCAGTCAAAGAGAGAACAAACTCAACCCTGGAATGGCAAACCAAACTTCCCTCTTTCTCGTCCCCTTAGACAATGCCCCCAAACACATAACACACATAAATCCATTATAAGCCCAAATAAAAAAGCAGTTTTTGTAAGTGAAGTGACGTCCTCTGCTCAAGCTTTAATGGCAAAGGGCATTTAGACCAACAGCACTCTCATGAAAAGTCCTGTAAAAAAATTGTCACCTATCAAACTTTGAATCTCAGCACCAGATTTGACACAATAATCCAGTGCCAGACTTGAGTCAAGAGATGGAAATGAAGAGTTAAGAACAAAGATGAGTCTACAATACCTTCCTAATTTAGGTCAACAGAACACTAAGCCATCATTTACTCCCACTGGAGCCAACTCCTGAATAAAAAACTGAGAACCAGAAAGCAAATGGGGAAGCACAGATGTGGAAGAAGTGAAGATGGCCAAACATTCATTGATGTATGCTTGCTGACCAATCTGGCTTTTGCAAGCCCTTTTGCAAGACCTGAATTCTACCACATAGCAAACCCAGAACTGAGCTGTGTCCATCAAGTGACAGGCACATCCTTTCTGTTATATGCCAAGATGTACAAGCATCAGCTGGACTTAAAAGTTTTGTGCTGTGAAACTAAGAAAATAAAACTAGATCACCTTAGAAGAAAAAATAAACATGAACATAAAAACAAGACAGTCCAGAGCTAAAGACAATAGAGCTGTGAGTAAATCCAGAATTACAGTCCTTACAAAACTGTCAAGTAATGGGGAGAACAGACCAGTGGACATAAAGACACTTTATTTCTGCTGAAACTAAAACCATGAGAAACCCTGTAACCTCAGGTGTTGCAATGTAACTGCAGTACTCTGCCAAAGGATGTCTTCTTCAGAAGGTACCAAAACACATGTTAAAGTGGAAAAAAAAACTTCAAAGGAGAAAAGGCTGGATTCAGGCCCAAAATAGTGTATACAAAATAAACAGGACAACTCAAAATTGCTCAAGCTGATCTATTTTTCAATGTCACTACCTGCAAAATGTGGTTTATATATATTACTGTGTATAACTTAAACACAACTTACTTACACTGTGGACTATAATTCATTCCTGCCAAAGTTCTCATGTGGCTGAGAAAAGAGCTGTGCAGATGTGAAACAAGGGTTAAGCAACAAGGATGAAAAAGGGCTGCATCTGCTATTTCATTTTTCTCTAAAACAGAGGATTCCATGGAGACAGTGAAAACTTGATTTGATTGCAAATTTCTAGAATACCTGAATTTTGATGATAAATATCAAGAGGCACCACTTCAAGACTAAATAACCTTTGAAAATTCCCAAGTTAAGCAGAACTCATGCAATATCGCTTCAAAACAAGCATCCTTGAAATTCAATTATACATCAGATTATAAAAGCCAGCAAGAGTACTTCACTGTTCAGCAAATATAATATAGACAGTAAGGTTAAAAAGAAATATCTGCACCCACTTCCAAATTCATCAGCTTGACATTTTCAAAGATTTACAGCATTAAAACACAATAAATTTCCAACTTGATTACAATGCATTGTATATTACAATGCTAGCACTACAGTGCTAGCAAGTGGCTTTGAGAATCAGAGATTAAAAAGATATAAAAGCACAGAAATGTTAGGTCTTATGAAGTATTCTGTGTCTGTAACATAAACACAACACAATAGATAAAAAATCCAGCCAGTGGCTTGTTTCCAGCAGAAGCAGTAACAAGTGCAAACCAGATAATTCATTTGATCCTGACACGGATTCACAGAGCTGTACAGGTAGAAGCCGTTGGTGTATTGAAAGAAGAAAGTTATGGAACATAGAACGTACAGCTGTCAATGGCAGCTCCATTACAATCATGGAAGGAGCAGCCAAAAAAGAGACAGAAACTAATTTCTGCTTTGTAGAAGAGTAATGTGAAGAGTAATGTAATGAGAAGGCAAGAATGCAGCAATGAAATCAGTAGTAAAACAGGACTGTCCCAGAAGAAAAAAAATGCAGAAAAAGAAAAAGATGCATTTGGAAGGAAGACTGCACTTCTGCATGTTAAAGCCTAACATGCAAACTGTAAAAAAAGTAGGACTGGAAGGAACCTCAAGAGGTCCTCTAAGTTAATACCAATTCTATTTTCTTGGCCTTCTAGAAGGGAAAAAAATATTTTGTCCACTGTTCTCCAAACAGCTTTTATCTTTTAGATGATACACTATATCTCTTTAGATATCTTGTTTGTCATTAGAACTAGAAAAATTGTTTTTAGTCTTTTCCTAATATGTCCTTTATTTATTTATTAACTGGTAAACTATTGTCCATTCATTTGCTTAATTTTTAAAGGCTGGAAATAAAAGTGCCACAATAACCTACTTAGTTTTCACTAACTCTCAAATGACAGGAATAATTACCTTATATCTTGTCTTTAAAGCACCCTTAGCAAACTAACAATAGCCTCACATAATAGACTCAGTATGAGATTCATGTTCTCCCCTAAAGCTTTTTTTTTTTTTCTTAAATAATGTCCCTACTCATCAACTATTACCCATCTGGTATAGGCTAATATACACACTGCAAAAGCACTCACATTGGTGAATTATGCTGGGTGGGAAACTCCAGCAAGTTTCCTCCAGTTTGTTTTACAAATGATGCTAGTTTAAAGAAGGATACATTTTAGCTTTATCTACAATACTTTTCAAAATCATCCTTATAAAGCCGCTAGTAATAGGAGCATGAACATTAGAAGGTGGTGAAATAACCACTGTCACCAATTTGTGCAAATGCACTCACTGGGAGCCTGCCCACTACATGACCTGAAAGTTATGTATGTAATGGGGAGAAAAAGTAAACATTCTAATTTCTTAATCTGGTATTTAAACGTGAGTAAAATTACTGCTATGATAAGATAGCTTCAACAATATCTCAACCTTTTAATTAAAATTAAATTAGACCTCCACAATTATCTAAATGCACTTATAACAACTGAGAGAACTGAAACACAAACTACCACTGATTCAAGAATAAATACTTAACCACATTGTCCTTTTCCCTGAACCAGTTCTTCAATAATAACAATATCATTAGCCTCACCCTCCAGATAATGCAAAGATACAGAACAGTAATTTACAGAAAACATAGAGGTAGAACTGTTGAGCACAAACCTGTAATCTTGTTTCAAGGGCTCTGACAGTAAGCAAACCATTCTCTTGCAATCCTTCTGCAGCAGGAACATTTTGTTTATAATTGATACCACTCTGAAAGAAAAAAAAAAACAAAACCAAAACCCTAAATGAATTAAAAAGCTGAAAGTAAGGTACAGGCTATTACACAGCATTATAAAAATCTAGGGGAAAATACAGCAAGACAAGAGAATCACAGTATGTCTTTTAAAAGAAAAATTATATTTTCTGAAAGCAATTAGAAATTGATAGTACATAATGGAAAGAACCAATTATGAGAAAATAATTAACAAGTACTATGGCTTTAATTAAATTAAGGGTTCTAAGCCAAAAGGTAGAATTGTGGCAAAACTATTATGTATGTGAAGCATTTTCAGCTGCATTAATTTCCCAATAGAATGTTGATATAATCATAGAATCAAAATATCTTCAGATAATTTAAGATTACAGCAGGGAATATTGTATTCAAACTTCAGGGCACTTCACAGCACACATCCAATTTCACTTTGTATCAATACTTTAATGATTTGTTGAGATTTTCATAATTTAGTAAGCACAGACTGAGTAGCTGAGAAAAGGCAAGCTCAACTTACTGCATAGTTGACCTCCCCAAGATCTGTTATTTTGAATGTACTTAACACGTCTGTATTGGAGTCATCCTTAAAAAGCAGTAACAGCTGCTCACTTCCAGAGCCAATAAAATCATCCACCAGAACACACTTCACTTTTTGCCATTTGGAAGCCACCTACAGTAGAAGAGGTTTTAAAATACATTTATTAGAATAAATCTAGTATTTGAGATCTCATTTTAGTGAAGGTTGTTTTCCATAAAGAGGGAGCCTATTCAGTTGTGTAAAATACAATGATATTTAAAGATTTCAAGCTCTCACTCTCATCCTATCATTTAGATCCTATGCAACTCTGGGAAAATTAGCTATTTCTCTTTAAAGATCACTTTCCAGATTACAGGTTGTAGAGAAGATGGCAATTTTTCAGTGTATTCAAGCAGCTGAATGTTGTACCATCTATTTAGAAGCAGTAATACTTGAAGATCAGTTAAAGGCATTATACCTTTGACACTGAGAAATATCTTTGTTTCACAACAGACTTAAATATGCTTGAAAGTTAAGGACAATTTTTTATAATAATGCCAGCAACTAAATAGTACAAATTTTTATTTCCTGACTTATACAAACTTCCTGTCAGATAACTACAAAACCCTAGCAGCAACTTTGTCTCTCCTAATTTTAGGAAACAATAGCAAGGCCTTTTCTTGTCATTTTCATAAAACAACATACTCTAGAAGCAACTTTTTCTTATTCTAATCTTTTTCTTATTTCTAATCTTTCTAATTAAGGCTCAAAAAGCTTTGATGTTCCAATAAGCAGTTTATACTTTGCAATGACATGAGGCTACTTCTAACACAAATCACCCAGGTGTACTCATAACTGCCCTGCAACTTCATGTCTTCACACCATTGCAGTTTTCAATTAGCAACAGAAGCTTTGGTCAGATTCATAAATGTATCACTGAATGAGAGAATCACAGATTCATTATCAGATATATAAGCAAGCAATGGAAACAAAACAATATCATACTTTAGACAGATTATTTTACCAGCAGCAACAATAATAAACAAGAGATCTAAAGAACTTAAACATGCAGGTTTTCAGTTGCAGGACTTTCAATAAGACAATATATACAAAAAAGACCACAGTAAAATGGAGATGTTTAAAGACACCAGTACCTGTAAGCTGTCTCTCCTCTGTACAACACAGCTATTTCCAGAGGCAAAAGCCACAACAAATAGCAAATCATTGCTACTGGTTAGAGCTGGTTTTACTGAACATGGCTTTTCATAAGGAAGCTCACAAACACCTTTAGGGGCACCATTTTGGAACCAAATAAGCTGGTTCTTGTGGGTTATGGCAACAAGAGAGATCTGGAGCTGTTTCTTCAAACTCTCACTCTTGCAGACACAGACAGAAGATACCACTCTGCTGTAAGCATGAGGCATGAAGCACGTGCCAGGCAGCATTTTCTGTGTTTGAACTGCGTATCCAAAGAACTCACTACCCCAGATGGCTCTGTCTGAAACAGAAAACCCATCTGGATCTTCAGTCTCTGGCAGGCAAGCAGTTCTTATCCCTAAGACAACAGTGCCTTCACCCATAATTTCACCTGTCCACACTACAGAAGAAAGCTGAACAGGAGCATTTTGAACCACGCGGGTGTTGGAAGAGATGTAGAACAGCTTGTTGGCATGTCTCCACAACAATGATGGGCCAGCAAACAACCTGATGTCTTCTTTCAGCTCATAATCCAACTTAAAATAAAAGGATGGCTCAAATTGGTTTGAACTGTGAAGCAACAATAAAAAGTATTTGACACTGTTCCGTTTTTTCTTCTTCATCAAAATGCAGGGAAGAATAATCCCAGTTCTGGAATCTGTTGTGCAGCTACAACAAATAATTTCAATTTTTGAGTGACTGGCTCCCATGCTGAATACTCCAGAAGACTTCTGAACAAACAGTTTAGTGTCTCTGTTGAATTCCATCCTTCTGACACATAAATTCATTGTTTTATCATCTGCTTCCTCTGCATGCTTTGTTTTTGACAACTGAAACACAAGAACTTCACCATTGTAAGACAAGAATTGATCTTGCTCACTCAGAAGCATCTTGATTTATCTTTAGGTATATTCCTCTATAAGAACATCCTATGTGTGCCTATTTCTGTCAGGCTTACTTCTTTATGGAAATTTTAACTTTTCTGGACATTTTCCATCTACAAAAGCAAGTAAGAAAAAAAAAAATAAATAGTTTTGGGACTAGCTGAACTGAGTGTCAAGAATAACTATGCATTGCAAAGCAATAATACAGAATGAGGCCAGTATGTGCTTTGATCTCACAGATTTATAATGAAGGTAAACAACTTCGGACTGAGAGATTTAAATAACAGAAACATTTTAGAAACGTTTCTTTACCAAGGTAGAAATTCTCCGGTTATCAACAGCTTCATGGCATAATGTAGATTGATAGAAACCAAACCACACACTCACAAATCGTGTGATTGCATTGAAGGTGTCAGTGCCACAAATATACAGAGCAGACTAGAAAGTAACGGTGCTTTGAATTCTCAAATTAAAGAGCCTTCTCTCGGGCGTAGTACTTATCAGTAGCTATAATTCTTTTTTTTTATTTTTTATAAACTTTATAACTTTTTATAACTTTATTTTAAAGCTATAAAACCTTAAAGGAGAAAATTTTCTGAGGAAGCATCCGGTCATTTTGTGACCAAGTAGACTCCCTCCCCCGCTCCCTCTTCTCCCAGAGAAGGCCCCAGGGATCCCGAGGGAACCACAGCCGTCTCACCAAGTTTCACCCGACTTGAGGGTTCGGCAGTGACCGCGGGCCCCG